ACATCTTCTATAAACCCTCTTAGCCACCACAGAATCACTAACCGACGTAGAGACCGAAAAGGTTCTAATAACACTTTAGGAAGAATATCAAAATTCATAACGACATCAGGTGTCACAAAGGAAAAAGTAGCACCGGGATATAACAAAGTATATACATATATAAGAAAGACTTTTAATGTACCAGTCACCTCGGGATTGAAGAGCATAAAAGAGGTTTTGCTTCGGGGCATTAGAGTTTGAACCTCTAGGAGGAGCTTGATTACCCTCTCTTCCTTGAACCTTGAGCATCAGACAATCTCTCATCGTGTGACCACTCTTTCAACAATCAAAGACCCATACGTGCGAACTAGGGACTTACCATCATGATTTCTTCCACACTTTACAAAAATAGGCCTAGTAACATAAGAGTCACTACTATTGCCTCCTTGAGGTTCAGGGTTAGACACCCTATCCATGTTGACTCTTGGGGAGAACTAGAGGAACCTTGGTTGGAAAAACTTTTTCTAAACCTTGGTCGACCTTGTCTACAGACCTAGCACGGGAGAGGTTCCCATCACCGATTCTAGCTTTTTTCATTTCCTATTCTTTTCCTTGAGTTTCGATTCCTCCATTGTTGAGCGTACACCATAAGCCTTGAGATATCCATGTCATAGAGGAGCATTTCCGTACGACACTCTTTTTCAACCAAGTCTAACACACCCAGCATAAACCTGTTCATTTTAGCCCTTGAGTCGCCACCATAGTTGAAGCATATTTGGAGAGTTGTGTGAATTTTAGAGCATACTACTTAACACTCATATTTCCTTGACTAAGGTTGATGAACTCATGCACCTTTCCCTCCCTTAACTCTAGGGGGAAAAACCTATCAAGAAATGACGATTTAAATAATTTCCATTCTACCGGGCCCGCTCTTACAGGTCTCTCTCCCTTCCACTGACCATACCACACTTGAGCCACATCTATTAGTTTGTTGGTGTACTTTATAAACCTCGTCGATAAACCTTTGAGGATCCTCTTCCACTTTGGAGCCATGAAATTCTGAAGGGTTCATTCGTGCAAAATCTCTTACTCTTTAAGCCATCGAATTCAGATTAGGATTCATCGGAAAATCAACTTCTTTATTGGCTTAAGCCGTCACGGTTGAGCTAACATTTGGATAGTAGACCTAAACTCCTCATGGGTCACATTCTCAACCAAAGGATCAACCGGAGCTTTATGAGCTTGAGGATGAGCTCCTTGTTCCACATTGTCACCCTCCATCCTTCTAGCATTAGCAGTTCTAGTATTCATTTCCTGAAGAACATAGGGCAAGGATTAGGAGATAGATCTTATAGAGTTAAACACTATGGCACGACATAAGAGTAATGAAAGAAGTGGAGTTTTCTAATCATCTTGTAGCCTCTCATTCATAAATGTGGCGCGTTTCACACTTATGAATGAGACTCTACTAGATGTGGCTTATGAGACATTATCCTAAAATCATTCTAAACCTGGTACTCTAATTACCAAGTTTGTCACGACCCATAGATACCCCCCTAGATGTAACAAGGCACATAGAACCTTGAAAGGCTCTATTTAAGCGACTTAGCATATCATAACATAAGAATAGAACAATAAAGAGTAAAATACATTTCAAGTCTAAAATATTCATAAACAAAATCGGAAGTCTAGACCTTTCTCAACATAGCCATCTATTACAATATTCAAAGTGACAAGAGGGACATAGCCAATACAACATAGTCCAAAAAGGACATTTAAGGAATTGAAATACAATGTGAAAACACCCATCCTCGAATCATGAGGATTCACCAACAAGATAGGATAATAAGAAAATCCAAGCTATAGCCACAACGATGATCACCTAGAGAACCGGACCCTACACATGAGGGAAAATATAGAAAAAATAGGCGTTAGTACAAAAATGAACTAATTATGATAGCCATGCATAAAAACATTGAAAACATGCTAAAAGGGACATTTCATTTTAATACATGTAATTTACTAAATTAAAACATCATTATGAATATAGTGGAAGAGCATAAGTCATTAACATATTCAATACATTGATCATCATATCATAAGAGAAACACTTCATAAATACCCTCAAAGCATACTTGTGCAATGCATGAATAAGACCCTATAAATCTCACCCACGCTAAGTAAAGCTTCTTGAGTAACCATAGTTCATAATTCATATTCTTGTTCTTGTTGTTGTGAGGAATAAGCCTTAATCGACATAGACCATGTGAGCTTAACATGGAATCCAGTGTTACCCACACCGAAAAGGGTTGTCCTACTTGCCTAAGGTAGAACCATATTCTTAGCTTAGGTGGATCCACTAGCTAAATACCTATGGGGGCACATTGTTTATGTGATAAGGAGATTGCTACTAGAAACCTGGACTCAACTAACGTAGAAGGTCTCCATCTCATGAGACATACTTTGGGAACCCAGACTCAACTAGTGTAGAAGGTCTCCTTGGGAAGCCGGACTCAACTCGTGTAAAAGCTTCCATCTCATATACAATATCCACTCGGTGCTAAGCATTAATTCCCACGGATTACAATTAAGTCTTGACTTAGGTTTATATTCAATAAATAATATCTTGACACTCAGTCCAACATAATTCATAGGATAGCTCTTTTAGATCATTTGTGAGAATAACCTTTCACCGTCGATGTCTAACCTTTCACCGTCGATGTCTACATATAGATTCAATAGGTGAGAAAGCCTTTCAACCTTAGAATCGTCATATTGTGAGAAAACCTTTCACACCACATCATATTCATGCATCGATGTGTATATGAGAATTAACCCTTCGATAACACAACAACTAGATCATAATCATAGACACTTCACTCTCAAAGTGTTCTTAAAGCATATACAAAGATTTCATAACATGCATAATATCATAATTTGCACTTTCAAGGATCAAAACTCATATTGAATCAACACATCTAGAATTCACAACATTAGACATGGTTATCAACATAATTCAAGTAACCCAATCCTTACATGCATAATCTAACAACATTCTTCTTTCATCAACAACCCCAAATCACAAGATCATAATTGGGAAACAGGAGGATTTCATGGGTTCTTAGGGATTTCTACATAAAAATCATAATAAATCATCAATTCAATTATACTATAAAGTAATTCAAGCATTAGAATCATTTTTTAAAGGAACCCATGACTTTTGAATCAAATCCTAGCTTTTGGGGGATTTCTATCATTGAAATTGGGATTTTTAAGGGGCTACATGTATGAAAGCTATCCATGGATGAAGAGATACCATACATTATCAATGAAACCCAATGAATTTGAGTAGAAAACCTTGCTCCTTGAACCCTAGCTTCAACTTCCTTTTTCTTCTTCCTTGAAGTTCTAGAGAGAGAATATTTGAGAGAATGTATTTTGTGAATTGAGTTGGGTGAGTTTTGACTTAAAATGACTTATATATGTGTATAAAACAAAGTCAAAACGAGTTCACTTTAATAAGACTTAATCCAGAATTACCCAAAACACCCCTCACTTTAAGTGAGGTGCCACGAGGGGATCCACGAGCAATGGTCCCCTCCATGAACTTGAGGCAGTGGCTAGGAAACTTGTGCCTTTAGCCCACAAGCCCAAGGAAACTTCATGAGCAGCTCCACGAGCCGTGGTGCTTGCCACAATTCGTTTTCCCTCTCATGGGCCTTAAGGCAGTGGCTTGCCACTTCATTTCAACCCTCACACACCCAACTATCCTCCACGAGACTTCCCACGAGCCTTGATCTTCACCACAAGCCGTGAATTGGCTTATGAAGAGGAGTTTGTTTTGGGTAGATTTTGGGGAGCTCACTACCTAGTCCACCACGGACCACACCATGTGTCGTGATCCCTACATTGAGTCCTGGTGGTGGTTGTGGTCACTAGGGCATTGTCTAGAGGAGAGTGGACTGCCTTAGTACTTTCCCTTAGCCCTTGCGACTCTAACCCTCACGTTTTAGATCTAGTTTAGCCTACTAGTTTTTGGGGTATTACAGATTCCCACCCGGACAGAGCTACATAAAGTGTTTTTGGGGAAATGTTTTCCGTTGTCAAGGAAGTTGAAGCTCAAGGATAAACTCAACACTTTCGTCGCCTTAGCTGGACAATCAGTCAGTGACTCTTGGAATAGATTTACAAGGTTCATGAGAAGTGTGCCTAACCACCACATCGATGATGAATTTCTCAAAGATTACTTTTGCCGAGGGCTAGATTACAATGGGAAAGATGTGCTAGATACTATTGCGAGAAGATCAAATGGATCAAACACATTTCAAGAGATTGCAGAGAAACATGAAAAAATCTCCAAGAATAATAATGCATTGACAACTAAAACATTGACTTTTGGAAGGAGTACTTTTTCAACAAGCTATACATAACAAGTCTAATGATGACATTAGTGAGTAGATGACACAATTGGGGATTGACGTTGGCTTGGTTTCAAAACATGTGATTTGAAATTTTGAGAAAATGAATGTACTGAACTATTAGACTAGAGCACCACCGGCTGATGAGTATATTTATGAGGAGGGTACAAATCTTGTGAATGATCAGATGGGGGATTTCTGGACCAATGCCCAAGCATCCAATCAGGATAGTTGGTGCCAAGGTCAAGGAAATTAAGGTTGAAAGTACAACAACTACAATCATGAAGGGAAATATGTTCATGATGGAAACTATAATCCTGATAATAACTACAAAATGAATGGTATACCAATAGGAATGATAAGAGAGGAACCTATGTTCCACCAGGGAACCAGATGGAGAATCGAGTATGAGTTGCACTGAAGATATGATGAACATGATGTTGAAAAGGTTGATTCAAAATGACAATGTAAATGAAATGCATACTAATTCATAAGGTATTGGTCAGAAAGTTGAGTGACACGCAATATCAATTCGACAGATCGAGCAACAACTAAACCACTAGCCCACAATCCTATCAAAATCTAAAGAATGAGGGGCATTATATGGTAGTTACTACAAGGGGTGGAAATTACTCTATTGAACCTTCAATGCCGCCTGGAGTGAAAAGTGCCAAAGAGAAGGAAGAGGATGAAGTTGAGGTAGTAGAGGAGCCAAAAGATCAAGATGTGAAGGAGGCTGAGGTGATGCAAAAGATCATCCCTATGCCGAGACCTCTACCTCCCTTCTTACAAAAGGTTGGTCAAAATGATGGATGACGGAAAGTATAGAAGGTTCATATCTATGATGAATAAGATATGAATAAATGTTTCTTTGATTGAGGCACTTTTACAAATACCTGGTTACCCAAAGTTCATGAATGATCTGGTGACTAAAAAGAGGGATGTCAGTTTTGAAGGTGATGACAAGTTGCAGCATTGTAGCGTTATTGCTACTAAATCTGTAGTGCAGAAGAAGGAAGATCTTGGAGCTTTTACCATTCCATGTACTATTGGTATGCTGCATTTCGCTAAGGCCCTATGTGACTTGATGCCACTATCTGTGTACAAGAATTTGGGCTTAAGATCCCCTTAACTGACTGCAATTTGGCTACTTATGGCTGGTCAAATCGTGAAGAAACTGATTGGGGTTCTTCAAAATGTCTTGTGAAAGTTGAGGCATTCATCTTTCCGGTGGACTTTGTGATACTAGACTGTGAGGTTGACTTTGAAGTACCCATTATTTTAGGGAGACCATTCCTTGATACTAGGCGTGCTTTGGTCGATATGAAAAGAGGGCAGATGAAGTTCTGATTGAACAATGAATTGAAGAGGTGACCATTAATATCTGCAAATCGATGATGCATCAACGTGATCTTAAGTCTGTGTCTATAGTGACCTATACTATTGAGGAAGAGCCAGATGTGTCTATTTAGGAGATATTAGGTGTTGACGCATGATTAACATTTCAAGGACAGTTCATCCAATTCTAAGTGTCAATGATCGCTAGTAAGTATAAAACCCAACTAAATTAGTTAGGGTCAAATCCCATAAGGGGTGGTACGTGTTTCAGATACAATTGGGAAGTATGAACATGTTCAAATCAGTAATAGGAATAAAAGTTATCGAATAAAGACATTATTCAAGTTAAGAGGTGACATGAATGTCCAATGGGGGGGTTGATTTTAATTATCAACTACAAACAGTCACAAACAATAAAACTGCCACGACCCGAGAGCACCCCCTAGTCGTAACCGGCGTACTCGACCTCGAAGAGGTCTTGTACAGGCCTCATGGATCATTCATTGCATACAATACTTGAAAATAGAGGAAAATTAAAAACTTTCTTCACACACGAAGATACTTTCATTAAATAGCAAGCGAAAGACTTCTAGACTTTATAAAATATGTTTCAAAGCCATCTAATACTTTTAGAGTACAACATAGGGACTAGCCCATACAAAACTTAAATAATGACAAAAAAGACATAAAGGGAACATCTTGGGTTTTGTCCTCGAATCTATGAGGACTTACCAAGTCTTCATCTTCAAAGCACTTTAGAAACCTATCCATCAACCATAGAACACCAAATCTCCAATCCCTACACTTTAATCAAAAGGGGAAGAAATGGGGTTAGCATAATTAAGCACTAAGTATGGAAGCCATGAAAAAACATGCAAAAAGGGACATATATTGGAGAAACATGCTTTTATGCCATTTGGTAAAACTTCATGAATTACAAGTATAAGAGACAATACTCAACCATAACCACATACAAGTCATCAATCACATTAGCACATACTCTACATATGCACTATGCTTTTACCTTTAACCATCCACCTCAAGTAACCTTTAGACAACACCTTGTGCAATGCATGGATAGCATCCCATACCACCATCCATACTAAGGCATCACCCTAAGATCACCAAAAGTGAAATAACCACTTATCATGCTTCACATTACAAACAATCATGCTCAACTCATACCAACATGCAACACCTGAACATATTTGTCAAATAAGTTATTTCATGATCTTAGGACCTCTATCTAGAGTTACCCTAAGACACACCTAAGTAAGACATGTAGTGGCCGCCCATAAAACCTCTTCATACACACCTAAGTCTTCCTCAAGGTTACCAAAGATAAGGACCTTTCTATTTCAACATAACTTCAATAAGTCAAGTATATCATGCTTCTTCACGTTCTGAGCAATTAGGGGACAACATTCTTCATGGAGACATTAAGGACATATTCATGCATTTAGAAGACTTTCACATAGTAGTCATTAAGACTTAGGGAACTCACTTTAGCACCTTCTAAGCTTACTCATGCCATGTGTAAATAGCATCCCATACTACTACCTACACGTTGTAGAACCTATCAAGTAACTAGAGTGCACATTCCACATGATGGGAATAGGCATTAACCGACATAGACCATGCAAGATAGACATGGAATCCGGTGTCTTCCCCATACCGTGAGAGGTGTTCTACTTGCCAAGGGTAGAACTAGGACACATCCCATGTAGGCACATGGTTTAGGGGATATCCAAAGACGTTCATTGTACTCTCACCTGATTCTCGGGAAGAGCTACAATCTTAACCATATCCACTCGGTGCTTTGCCTTAGTTCCCTTAGAGTAATTTCATTCACATGTATGTACTAGAGAGGGCACCATCATTAGGTACATCGAACCATAGTACTTCTACCAAGAAGGGAACCATCATAAGGTCTCACCGATCAAGGTTCATTAAGGATAGCTTCTTGACTTTCTTAGAGAGGGTTTTCTACCGGTCCGGCCCACCAACTATAAGTCTATCATTTTACACAAGAAGGAGGTCATCACCATAAGGTCCCCCTCTTCAAGGTTTCACATTCACTTTGGGGTCTAGACTCATCATGAAAGGGCACCATGCTTAGGTATAGCTGATTCAAGTCATAGCCTAGAATGCCTCTTTAGTCTTTCATAGAAAGGGCACCATGCTTAGGTCTAGCCGATTCAAGACACTCATTCATTCATTAGTCAAGAAAAGGTGTTAGCCTACCAAGTCAAGAGATCACATTAAACATATCTTTCAGGTAACAAGAAAAGGCACCTAAGTCTACCAAATCAAGATACACATCACCATATAGAGACTCTTCATAGTCTATCATTATCACATATGAACATTAAGAGAGAACATACTTCCAATCACAATACAATAACACTTTATACAAGATCTCCTTGAGACCACATGAACACCTTTACATTCATAACATGATTACCTTTACTTCATTAGATTCTCATTCAAAACCTTCACATCACATTCACATCTATAATACCATAACAACACTTCAATTCCTCATATAATGCCTCCAGGGCCTTGATCACAATACATACAATGAGTAAACACCTCCACCATAAGTGGATCAAACCATACAAGAACAATTCAATATAGCATGAGATTAGGTCAACTTACCATTCTCCAAAGCCATAATCACCATTACTCAATTCTCCATCAATTAACCATAGATAAGCATAGATAATAATAGAAATCAACTATACAACTCAATCTAGTCATAATTTCATCAACATTCATTCATAAGCATAAGACTCACTTCATAGGCCAAATTTAGGAATTTTGTGAAATCATAGGTTCATGGAGTTTTTCATCTTAAAACACCAATTAAACATCAATAACATCAGAGTTTATCAATCGAAATCGTTTGATGCAAGAACCCATGAGATTGTGTAAGAAATAGGTTTTTCCATAAACTTTGAAACTGAAATCTATTTTGGAATTGGCTCTAGGGTGATAGCTTGCCCTAGATAAAGAACACCCATACCTTTTTATTAAGATTTCCCAAGAAAATTGGTGAAGAAACCTCCTTGAATCGAAACCCTAGCTCCCACTTCATCTTCATCTTCTTCCTTGAGTTAGAGAGAGTTTTTGGGGAGGAAGAACTCTTGTTTTGATTTGGGGAAATAATGAGTAAAAGACTAGTTTTAGGACTTAAAACTATATATACTAATGATATAAAACAATTATAAACAACCCCACACATTAATTGATCAAAAACAAATTACTCAAAAGCCCCTAACTTGGGCAGCCCCCGTCAGGGACCACACCCACTTGGACGAGTCTTGAGGGGCACCACGGCTCGTGGTGGTGCCCGTAGTCCCTTGACCAGTGCCCTCCACCAACTTCCTAGGCCCTCAAAGTCCTAATGAAAGTCCACAAGACCTTGCACGATCCGTGGTGAGGACCACGAATCTTGTGAAGGTCGTGGTCATGAAGGCAGTAGCTAGGCAAAGGTGCCTTGATTACCATGCCACCAAGTGACCTTCACGACCACTTATATGTACCGTGGTCATGACCACAGGTCGTGAAGTGGTCCATGGTCATTGATGGTTATCGTGACCAACGACACTAATCTACGGTTCGAGTGTCTACGATGGTCGATAGCATAGTAACCCAACTAAAGGTTGGGGTAGTGTCCCAAGGGAGTGGTTTGAGAATTGATAGAAAAATAAAATTTAGCTCTAACTAGTTGTAGCTAAAGACATAATGATTAAAAACATAATAAATTAAAGGGGGCGATACAAAAGTGTCAAATATCGATAAGGGTTTTGTCACAAGTAGTAAAAACAACAAAAACTAACAAGAAAATCAAGTATGGGGAAATGTTCTTGGGGTGTGACCGCAATACAAGTAGAGGTAGATCGTTGGGTACATGCTTTCAGTAGGAAATTTGCAAGATAATAGTGACTAGGCTAAGCTTTAGATGGAAATAAGTTCCCTCTCTGGAAACTTATCCCGTTTCAAATGGGTTCCTCTCGGACACCCATTTGCCGCATGAAGACCAGCCTACACCTTACCCCACTCACTCTCTCGAGCTGAGTGTTAGGATATGGGACTAGGGCTCACCCTCTCGGGCTGAACCTCATGTCGACCCATTCCTTAGGCCATCAGTCTAGTGGTCTTGGTTTCGCGACCTCCCGCTCGGGCAAGCCGAAAACACATGGGTGGTTTTATACTTGCAACTACAAACCCATTAAATTAAACCTAACCTATAAGCAACCAAGACCCAATAACAATATCAACACATATTTGCTGAATCACACCCCAAGAATGGGGTTTTAGCCACACATCAAGAAATAACAAAATACACTTAAAATGATACAAAAATCAAATGGGTATAAGAAATTAAACCTTGATTTAAGCAAAAGAAGAAGAATGGAAAAGACCCACCTCCAACTTGGGGAAGATGAAATCCTTCTCTCTTCAAGTCTCCCATAAAACCGTCTCCAAACTTGAGATAAAATATATAATAAGTAATATTCTATTGTGAAAAGTATAATAATGGTTCGAAACTTATAAAAATTAATAAGAAGTTTAGTATTTATAGCCATCAGAAATTAGTGCTGGCGGATAGTTTGGCAAGGTTAGTCGAGTTCGCCGAATGACTCAGCAACTCACCCTTCTTCTGTCTCATCACCGTTTAGCGCTTGCCTTCAGCATCTTCACATTCTGGACCATTGGGCAGTATAGTACTTCTTCGCGGAACTATTCGGTGAAGCACTGACTGCTCCTTGCATCGCCTTTTTGATCCTCTTCCTTCAGGGCTTCGCATACTGGAACAAAGGGCGGAGTCTGTCCTTTTAGCGAATAAGGTGCTTGGTGATGCTCAGGCTTTAGCTTCTTCGTTCTTTTCAGCCTTTTTGTTCCTTTTTTGCGCCTAAGTGTCCATGCTTCCACTAGAACATCAAATACCTGAAACTTAAGAGTTTTCATTAGATATTGAGACAAAACAAGCATTCGCGAACAATATT